ATCGTCCTATAACTACCCACTTTCTTCGTAGTGGCCATTTTATCATGAAAACTGCCTTTTAACTGCTGTCATTACCTTTCATCATTCAACCACTTCCGATTGAATTCCTTGAATCGTGGAACGTGATAGGGCTGGTTTAACAACTGCTTTGATAACTGCATTTTTTTATAACCACGACGCGTTATGTTTGTTGATACTTTGGGCGACTTGAAGGTTTGGGCGAGAATAGAGTAACAGCTCTGGGCGACCGTATGATACTCTATTCGTTCAGATTCTGGGCGACTTGCAAACTTGGGTGATGGCGTTACAGCATTCTTGGGCCTCCTTATTTGGGCCTTCATCTTGATTTGTTCGATTAGGCTTTGTTCTTTGGGCTATCTGATTTGGGGATCCTCTAATTGGGCTTCACTCCTTGGGCTGTTCGATTTGGGCTGAATTTTTTATGTGTCAACAGGGCTATCATTAGGGGAAATGAGTTGGAATAACCACCACTCAATGTCATTTTGTCTAAATGGCATTTGATGAAATTCTTTAAAAAGTAAGAAAACTTAATTATTTTAAAGTATCAAAAGCCTATTTTAACCTTTTCTTCCATAACCAAATAAATGAAGGATTTTTGACATTTTCTCCTTCATCCTCCACGTAAACCTTTCTTCCCCAAATTTACAATTGCAAAATTAAATATTCCTCTCCTTCAAATTCCCAAATACTTCTCATTCAAATCAAAAACAATATTTTCTTCTCCTTCTGAGGCCAAAGATTGTATAAAGTTTTAAAGTGGCGATGGGTTTGCGACTATTAGGTTGAACAAAGTGAGTATTTATGCTCTTCAAATTGGCAGTTACAGCAATGGTGGTGGCGACAATGGTGGGTATGAAGGATCTGCGTGCTAGAAACAATTTCATTTTATTTTTATTTTTTTGTTGATGACAGACAATTTTTTTAGACTATATAACTGGTAATTGTTTTATTCTCAAACTCCTCTTATAGCTTAGTTGGTGAAAGCTTACATTTATACATAGCAAGTCCCAAGTTCGAATCCTTTTCCACCCAATTAATGGAGCAACATTTTTGTTTCTAAAATATGTACCAAAATTAATTCCATAAGAAATGAATTCGAACCTTTGACCTTTAGTTAAAATATTGGAAGCTTAACCACTACGACAATGGTAAAATGTTCATTTTAAATTTAACAAAATAATATATGTTGATTTGAACCTGTAACGACATTCAAATCGTTTTATTACAAACTTAACGAGTTTGAAATCGTTTCAATACAAATCACAATTACAACGATATAGATATCGTTTCTTTTCATACAAAACGATAATTATATCGTTCTGGCATCACGACGCTTGGTTCTCTGCCCAAAATCAGAAAATGGTTTTCTTTTTGCAGCCAAGTTTCAAATACTGCATGCTAGTCCCTCAACTTTGATTTTGTACAATTTGGTCCTCAAATTTTGACTTCCATTTCGATTTTGCCCTCCATAAATTGCATCCCAAATCCTCCACTATTTGACTTGTTTGCCTCGGCCTCCAACTTCACAATTTTGTACAATTTTAGTCATTTTTCCTCCTTTTGCCTTGTTCTCTTTCCTTTGGGTGATTTTTACCTATAAAAGCAAATATTACTTAACTATGAATAGAATTTCATTCTTTTCATCAATAATTATATCAAATTAAGTGCCCAATAAGTGTGCAAAAACACACTTATCACACCCCCAAACTTAAACTCTTACTTGTCCCGATCAAGATTATCTACCACACAATCAAACAAAAGTGATCATGGTCAATACACTAAATAGCTTGCCAAAAATATCAATGAGTGTAAAATTGTATAATCAATTGACAAATATGCTCCAAATAATGCTAACAAAAAATAATTTGAGTTTATCTAATCTTCGATCGGTGTGTATGTGTATAGTCACTTTCAATTATCATCTAAATTAGGAAAAATTTATCAAGATGGAAAAATCTTCAAATTGGCTTCAACCAGACCCTTTGTAGTTAAATATTTTCTTTCCCACTCGTGAAATTTAAACTCCTCAAATAGATATTCATTTATTTCCCCGAGGTGTAAATCTAAGGCTGCTCTCAATTCACTCATTTCTTTTCTTGCTCTAGTTCGGTTGGGTCTAACCAGTAATATCAATCTCTAGTCATGTGATGATTCCCTACTAATGAATGCTTTCATATTCAAGTTTATACTAAGCAATTCAAACCTACTAGTTACCTAAGCCCAAATATCAATAACATTTTTTTCTCTTTTTTTTTTTCTTTTTAGCCGAATCTCATGTTTTACCTTACTCCTTTAAGCTTTCTTCTTGACCCTTGTAGCGAGCTTTAGGTCGATAACTCCCCGTTGTTTAGGGCAAAGGGTATCGGGTTTCAAAATACCCCTACGGACTTAATAAATCGAGTCAAAAAGCTACGAAGTGAGGCCCAAGATTCAACAAGTACAATAACTTCATTTTTTTTAACACAACAAAAATGGGGCTTAGATCCCTAGCATACGGTCATTACCTAGCTTATGCTCGGCAAAAGACACTCCACACAAATATTTTCAACATGCACGAAATCACACACTTCTAGATAATCTCCTTCACCGGCTTGACCACCCCCAAACTTATCTCACGATATGGTAAAGTGAAAGAAAATAGAATATAGATTGATAAAAATTTCCAAACAACTCACAAGTCACAACCTAGTTCAACCAATTCAAAAATATATCCTTCAATCAAAAAAATTTCACATCTAGATAACAATAAATCATGACTATTGTGCTCAAAGTAATTCAAAATCTCACGATAGATAAGCAATTTTTTTTTTTTTGAAAAAAATTACGCACAAATAGCATATTTGGTCATGTATGCATAACTCATGAATCAATAACAATTTCAAACATCAAAATCATGTAAAGTCGGCAAGGCTATCTAACATATCAACATAATTTCACCAATTCAAGCACAATCACCCCCAAACTTAAGCCACACATTGTTCTCAATGTGTAAGGAACAAGATAAAGAGGAGAAGGATAACGAAACTTCCCCGATTAGGTGTTTGTTGAAGGATGTTGTAGATGAATTTTTGGTTTATGACTTAGTGGACCATGCACCCCCAAACTTGTTGAGATCTATGGGTGGTTAGGACTTCAAAAATTTTGACCTACAAAAGAATTTTATTAATTCAAAATGTAATAACAAAAGTATTAATCACAAATAACATAAACAAAAGTGTAAGGATAAGAAAGTTGGGTTGCCTCCCAACAATAGCTTGGTTATAGTCCCTAGCTCGACTATAGGCCTTGTTTACTCTAAATTGACAAGAGGAATGGAGGATTTCTCCTTAGAAAAATCACCTCCAAAGTATGGTTTCAATTGTTGCCCGTTAACCTTGAAGTTTCCCTTTTCCTCATGATGAAGTTCAATTGCTCCATGTAGAAAAATCTTAGCAATGGTAAAAGGACCAGACCATCTCGAGCAGAGCTTTTCGAGAAACAATCGGAGTCGAGAATTGTAGAGAAAAACTTGTTTCCCAACAAAGAACTCGCGTTTCACAATGTGTTTATTATGTCATTTCTTTGTTTTTTCTTTGTAAATTTTAGCATTCTCATAAGAGTCAAGGCGGATTTCATCCAGTTCATTCAATTGGAGCAATCTTTTCTCATCAGCCAATTTCACATCAAAATTCAAAGCTTTTACTGCCTAATAAGCTCGATGCTGAAGTTCTACTGGGAGGTGGCAAGCTTTCCCAAATAAAAGACGATAAGGAGACATACCAATGGGCATTTTGAACGCGGTACGATAAGCCCATAATGCATGATCCAATTTCTTGGACCAATCTTTTCTAGAGGCATTCACCGTCAATTCAAGAATCCTCTTCAACTCCCGATTCGATATTTCAACTTGGCCACTAGTTTGGGGATGATAGGGAGTGGCTACACGATGCTTTACTCCATATTTGGTCAATACTGAGTCGAAGAGGCAATTACAAAAATGTTTACCTCCATCACTAATGATAGCTAGGGGGGTACCATAGCGAGAGAAAATATTTTTCTTTAAAAAGTTTACTACCACCCGAGCATCATTAGTGGGCAAAGCCACCGCTTCTACCCACTTTGACACATAATCAACCGTTACCAATATGTATTGATTTGAGAATGAAGGAGGAAAATGTCTCATAAAATCAATACCCCATATATCAAAAATCTCCACCTCTAATATAGAATTCAAAGGCATTTCATTTCGGTTGGAAATATTACCAATGCGTTGGCATTTGTCGCACTTAGAGACAAGAATATGAGCATCTTTGAATAATGTGGGCTAATAAAAATCAGATTGAAGTACCTTTGTTGCGGTTTTTACAGCCCCGAAGTGACCACCATAGGGTGAGGAATGACATTGTTCAAGGATTTGCTCAATTTCATCTTCCGGCACACATCTTCGAATAATTTGATCTGGCCCCGTTTGAACAACAAAGGATCGTCCCAAAAATAATGCTTGATGTCGGCAAAGAACTTCTTCCTTTGTTGGTAAGAGAGATCCGAGGGAATGATGTCACTAGCAAGAAAGTTCACATGGTCCGCATACCATGGTATATGGGTGGCTTGTAGAAGATGCATAATTTGCAAGAGTTGTTCA